TAGAGAAAGGAGGAGCAAGGGGGGGAAGGGGGAAAGGGCCAGCACCTGTGAAAAGGTGAGAAGAAACAGAGGGGCTGGCTGCCCCCCGTTCCTGAAAGGAAAGCCCCATGCTGCTCTGGGGCCCCCATCCCAGTCCCTGTACCTGAGTATGGCTGGTTTCTGGCAGGGGTCATGTGACCCAAATGGTCCAAAGACCTTCAACACTGGAACTCAGGATGCAACCCCCAGGAGGAAAATCCTCCCCTCTCAGCACTGAGAGGACACAATCCTGGAGCGGGAGGTATCCCGGTTGGCAGAGTAAGAGGAGAAGCCATCTGAGAATGCAGTCAACACAGAGGAAGGTAAAGCTGATACATGGAGACAGGGAACCCTGATGCCGTTAGAGCCCCTGGATCCAGCCACACCTGAAGCTAATCCTGGCACTGGAGTCTTCAAACCTGTGCACTGATTATATCCTTCTATTTGCTCGAGCCAGTTTGGGATGGGGCTTCTGTTCCTTTGTAGCCAACAAAATCCTGAGTCGTGATTGAAAAAAAGAAGTGGGCCCCACAAAGAACTGGACCTCGCCATAAGCAGGTGAAGGGTAAGCGGGAATGCAAGAATGATAAACTCAGAGCCCGGAACATTAAAACTAGGTCCAAGCCAGGTGGGGCTCCTCGACAACCACACCTTTTCACTCCCCTAAAACCCACCCTGACTTGTGACTTAGCCACTTGAGGCAGGGAAAGAAGGCAGAAGCAGGAAAAAGAGGGAGCGCATCCCAAGCAACATGAAGAGGTTTGCAGACCGATCCAGCCCAAAATGAGTTAATGAACAACTGTTGCTCCCCTGGAAGGCATCTAATGAAATTACGAGACCATCCGCTTACTGCTGGGTTGGTCAAGGGTGCGCTCCGACATGATCAACCACAACAGCCGAGCCAGTGCTTGGCTCGTAATGAAGTTTAAACATCATCTTAATAGGCCTTTACTTATTTGCTTATGACGTCTCAAAGACGTGGGGACGAAATGGCAGCAGGCTTTTAGAACTGACGGCAAAGGCAGTCGTGGCCCGGAGAGAAAGAACCGCAGCTCGTCAAAGCCAGCTCAGGCTTCTGGCCAAATCGGACAGGCTCCTTCCAGCCCCGGCGGTGTGTTCAGCACCTATGTGCTCGATGACCCACAGCGGTCCTCGAGTTCTGTGCACAAGGGGTGCTGGGGCCACGGCGAGAGGAGAGAAGACAAAGAGACAGGAGAAAGCTGGAACGTCTTAGCACCCAGCTCCCAATCCAGACCTTGCCTCTGCCCCACCACCCTCTAAGTGCGCATCCACTGATGCCACTGCTGGACTCAAAATCCTCGTGGCTTCCTGGTGGCCCTCGGAACACAGTCCACACTCCACATTCTGCACCGCAGCCCCTCTCCCACTCGGCTCTGTACCCTTTCTCAAAATCAAATGTACTCTTCTCTCCTTTGTTCCTCTGGGTCAGTCCATTGCTTCTTGGGACCGTGGCTCTGGCTCGCTCTGCTATGCCCGCAGGCTGACCTCCCACCTTCTCGCGGGGCATCTTCCCTCGGAGGCCGGGCCTCAGCGCCGTCTCCTTGGAGAGGCCTCAACCATGGTGTCTGGTCAGACCTTCTCTCCTTTCCTTGCTGATCGCCTGCCTTCCTGCCCGACGGGCTCACTCCACGGCACAAGGGGCTCACCACGCTTCGGTGACCACTGGCCCCAGTGACAAACAGGGTACGTTGCTGAAAGAGTAAGTTAGTGCCCGCTCCCCGGCCCTGCAGATACCCAGGAGAAGCCGCTTGACTTGGACACAGAAAGGTGTCCCCAAACTGGAAGGTGCTTGGGACCCAGGCTGAGGGGCGAAGGCGTGAGCAGCTACAGTCGGGCAAGGCAATGTGAGACGGGGAAGTCTCCCGGCTGGCCGCGTGTGCATGGGCGCCAGGCTCGCATCCCTCACCCTGACTGAAAACACAGACGGCTGACGTGTCCAATGCCCTGTTCTTCTGGGTTCGGACAAATGTGTAATGTCAACGCACACACACATGCATGTGTTCACACACAACACATATACACACACGGCCAAAATGTTATAACAGCCAACAAGTTGGCCTCATAAACTTTACAATTTACCTTCAAAATGCAGCCACACAAACACAAGGAAGCATCGCCTTCCCACGCACACGCGCACACGCACGCACACCCTCTCCCCCAGGCAGACTCGCCAGCTGCAGGTCAGGCGTGACCCAGCTGGCGAGCACACTGCCCAGCCTTGCGCAGCTGAGTGCGGTTGTGAGACAAGTGGTCGCTGATGGGCAGGAAGCAGAAGGGAGGGGACTGCAGTGTGAATGCGACCAGCCGGCACGGGTCACAGGGACCAGGCCGCCGTGCAGGGGACAGTGCAGCACCCAGATGGAAGAAGCTCGGGTCACTTGCGCGACCTTGCAGAGCAAAGCCACCTACCCACCCCCACCCCCACCCCCAGGCCACCCATTCACCTTAAAGCTGTTGCAGGGGAAAAACTGTTTCCGTTTGAGCTGGATTGGGGGGGACTCATGATAGCAGCTGAGCCTGTACCCCAGTGACAACCACTTACCCCGTAAATCTGTGTGCGGCTTTCCCTTTGAAGGCCGAAATCCAGAGCTGGGGATGTGGCTGGGCCCTCAAAGGGAGTTCATTCCCCACCTTGCCCTGGGCACCTGAAGCCCAAGGGGAGGGTCTCTCCTGTCCACAAACATCCACAATGACAGTGGGTTAAAAGGTCAAGGAGACACCCTTCCCGAGCCTCGGTGTCTCAGGCCATTTGCTAGGGGCTTGCTAGGGGCTGGGGATCCAGATAAGGGAGCAGATCTGGGGTCCTCCGGGGCTCGGAATGCAGGGAGGGGGCCAGCAGGTGCCCACAGCAAGAGGGGTCGTTCTGAAGCCAGTGCAGAGAAGCATGGCACAAAGGGAGGGTGCGGGGTTGAGTGTCAAGGACCAAGTGACCCAGACACAGTGCTCCAGGGTCCCTAGGATTGTCTGCACAAGCGAGGAGGTGGGGGTGGGCGCGGTCCCCCGCACCCCTGAGAAAGTTCCTGGAGGTGGGAAGACGGACCCAGAGGAGGACAGCTGCTCAGAGGCCCGGCAGCCCCCCGCTGGGCAGCACTGTAGGCCCCCGTGCTCCTGGCAAAGCTGGGGACTCAGGTGTGGTGGGGAACTGGGGGGATGGGGAAGAGACCCGGGGGGGGGGGTAAAACCTGCAGGCATCGCAAAGGGGAAGGCAGCTGACCAGAGGGTGCTTTCAGGGCAATACTTGGGCCAAGGCACATCATGGGAGAGCCCGCACCGCGGGCGTTCGAGGGCTGTTGTTCAGATCATCTGGCTCTCGTTAATGAAGTTTGTCCCGCGCAGCTTATTAATACAGATGTGTGGGCTTGGCCAGCCTGGGGGTCTGGCTGGAACTGAAAGGGCATGCAGTGAAGCCTGAACAACGCCTCTGGCAAGTCAGTGCGACGTGGGCTCCGAGCCCCCTGCGGAGTCGGGCCCAAGTCCCAGGAGGGAGGCTGGCAGGCCAGTCCCACAGGGGGGACAAGCTCAGCCCAGGGTCAGTCGACAGCCAGGGGTCCCAACCGCCCAGCTCTTCCAGCACGGGGCTCACAGCTCCTGATGACCACTCTCCCGTCTTCCTCAGCAGCAGGACCCGACCGTGTTTGCAAAGTGAGGGGGGCAGAGTAAGGCCCCCAAACATGCCCCGGGAAGATGTTAGGTTCTGTGGCCAAGAGATTTAAGGCGGCACATGGAAGTGAGCCTGCGAATCAATAGATGTTAATGATCCTGGATTACTAGAGTGGGACCATCGTGATCACAGAGGTCTTATGTGTGGAAGTGGGGGGCAGGAGGCACTGCAGGCTCTGGGGATGGAGGGATGAGCCAGCAGTCATGGATGAGGGCACCTCTGGAAGCTGGAAAAGGCAAGGAACACTCTCCCCTGGAGCCTCCAGGAGGAACGCAGCTGGCCCGCACCTTGACTTTAGCTCAGGGAGATCTGCATCAGGCTTCTGACCTCCAGAACTGCAATAAATCTGTGTTTTAAGCCACTAAGTTTGTGGTAATTTGTTACAGCGGCAACGAGAAACAAACGCGACAAAGGTGACAGGTCCTGTTTAAAAACGCTCACACAGGGCGCCTGGGTGGCTCAGATGGTTAAGCGTCTGCTTTCAGCTCAGGTCATGACCCCAGAGTCCTGGGATGAAGCCCCGCATCGGGCTCCCTGCTCCGCAGGGAGCCTGCTTCTCCCTCTGCCTCTCTCTCTCTCTCCCTATCTCTCACGAATAAATAAAACCTTTAAAAAAAGAAAATAAAATAAAAGAAATAAAAACGCTCAGATGTCCAGACACCCTTGCCGCTAGGGGTGGCCATGTGGCCCACGTCAGGTCACATAGGTACTAGCAGAGGCCCACGGGGAGCCACTGTTTGGCTGATGAAGAGGGGACAGACCGGAGAGAGGGGGCCTTCTGCCCCTGACCCAGCCCTCTCGTCACTTCCTGCTCCTTCCTGCCGGGAACATGATGGAAGGTGAGAGGCGGGGCGGCCGCAGACGGGGGATGGTGGAGCTCAGATGGGCACTGCTCATCCCACAGTCACGACCCAGGCCCCGGGTATGCGCCTGCCTCCGCCTTCCCAAGACGGGAGAGAAAGTAGCCCCGCCAAACGAAGCCTGGATTCTGTGACGCCATCCCAGCGACATACGGTTCTTGTGATGACAGAGCTTGTGGTCCGGGTACCTGGCTGCTTGGAACCAGGGGGAAACCCAGGGTAAGCACAGGCCTCCCCTCCGGGGAGCTGGCTTCATGGTGAAAAGTCCCCGCTGGTCACCCAGTCACCCGGGGCCCAGAAATGTCCCACCTGCATGGCCAAACACCCCCCCCCCAGGGCGCAGCCCCCAGCTGGCCCCTCAGCACAAGCAGCTTCGGACACGGATCCAGTCACCCCTCCAGAGAAAAGGCCAGCACGTCGCACACACAGATGTGTGCACATAAATGTATATATGCAGACGTTTATTGCATAAATTCCTCATAGTGCTTTCCCCCTGTATTTGTATAATCCAGAAGAAGAGGGATTCGAAAAAGGTTTTCATTGTGCTCAGTTTTTAAAATTACAAAAACGAACATGAGGATTACAGGAATTCGTTAACGTGCTGAACTGAGAATACAAACGAACTGCCCAGTGATCTAACCCGTGACTCAATTTACAGCTGCTGAGAACACAGCTTCCACATGAGGTTCCAAGAGCCCCCGGGGAGGGGAGGAGCAGCGAGGCCATGTCCCCTGAGGCCAGGCAGCTCCGACGCGGGAGGACCCGTGACCGCTGCCCAGGCGGCCAGCCGATTCCCCGAAAGCAACTCCACCCCGCAGGGCGGACATCCAGTTTTCAAGCGCCCACACACACCGGATAACGAATGTTACAACATTTTTAAATCATTTGAAGTCCATGAAATAAGGAGACCCTGTTAAAGCACGAAACCCACGAGCTGTCAAGCGGGAGCTTCTGCTCGCCAGGCAGGGCGGTCTGGTGGGCACGACACGCGGCTGCACCAGGACCCGCAGGAGTGGTCGGTCGCCGGGGACCAGTCCACGTGCCACAGCAGACGGCCAGTCCCTAAGGGATGACAGCCAGAGCCAGGAGACCCACGGAAAAGGGAGACACAGATTTACACCTGAAGAGAGCAAAGGGGACTGACTACAGGCCCAAGGCTGAAGGCAAGATCGCTCCTCAGAGGGGCGCCGCCGCTGCCAGAGCGCCAGCCAACGCGGGAAGCGTGGCCGTGACCATGGCTGTCAGCCACAACCATCCACGCACAGGTGACCCCCGGCTCCTCGCAGCGCGTGCAAGAACACTTGTACAAAGACACACACTCCCTAAGCCTTGCCACACACACAACCAAATGCTCCCTTTCGGCCTCTGAAGGTCAGGACGTGACCCGGGAAGAACATGGGGAAGCCACCAGACGCAACTGCGGGACAGACATGACTTTCCTCCCAGCCTGTGGACACTTGCCTTCCCAAAGTAACGTCCTGAACCCACGGAAGTCACAGCACAGATGTGAGTGGCAGGGTGCCGACGAGCCGGTCCGACTCAGAAGTCCTGCAGCTCGGGGATGTCCCGGTACAAATCCAGGGTCTCGGGGTTCGAGAAGGCCCCCCGGTGCTCCACGCCTTTTCCAGCGATGATCTGTTTCACAGCCACTTCCACTTTCTTGCCGTTGAGGGTGTACTGCCAGGGAGGGGCGGACGAAAGAAACACAGCGCTGAGTCTCAAGGGGAAGAGAGCCCTCAGCTCCCGGGTCCAAGCATGTGCAAACCGCGGACCGACCGTGCAAACCGCAGACGGAACGTGCAAACTGCGGACCGAATGTCCAAACCGCGGACCTGCAGACCGAACATGCAAACCGCAGACCGAAAGTGCAACCACAGACCAAACATGCAAACCGCGGACCGAACGTGCAAACCACGGACGGAATGTCCAAACCGCGAACCCATGGACAGAACATGCAAACCGCGGACCGAACGTGCAAACCGCGGATGGAACGTCCAAACCGCGAACCCACAGACCGAACATCCAAACCATGGACCGAACAACCAAACCGTGGACCAAACGTGCAAACCACAGACCCGCAGACCGAACGTGCAAACCACGGACTGAAGGACCAAACCACGGAACAAACCAACCAAACCGAAGGGCCAAACCACAGAACAAACGTCCAAACCGCGGACCGAACGACCTCGGCCTGGAGCCAGCCACGCAGGTGCGCCAGGGAGGGGGCCTTCCACCCGGTGAGCAGGTGGCACTTGGATCACTGCATCTGGGGGATTGTGGGCTGATTCCCTAAGCCCAGTTGCCTCCTCGAGCATGAAGGGGGGTCCAGCACCTCTCCCTGCCGGGAGGACAGGGCTCCAGGGGGCTCACACACGGACAGCTCTTGCAAGTGCCTCACTGTCAGACTGTTTCTATTTCGTCAGTTAGACTGACTTCATTACCCTTCTCTGTACCATAAAGTCGGGCCATCAGCATCATGTCAGCAGCAGGCTGGCTTCTGCCACCTCGTCACCATCAACTGGCCATCGAGCCTCGTCCATGAGCCTCACCAAGCTTCCCCCAAATCTTCCCTCAGAACCGTTCATCAGGTCGGGATGGGGTACTACTTTCCTCACAGCCAGACTCCTTCCAAACGTTCAAAGCTCCCCCTAAAATCTGTGGCCCGCATGTTCCGCCTTTGATCCCCGTGCCTCTGGTGGCAGGGCGGGTGTCTGGGGGCAGGGGACTCAAGGGCAGAGACCTTAAGGAAAACGGTGGTGCCCTGATCTCTCCTCCACGGGCACTATTTTTTTTTTTTTAACCTGAGATGTAATTAAAATTCATTCATTTGAAAAACTCGGGCGATGTGTGAACTAATTAAGGATCTAAGCGCTAGCTTCCGAGGGACTGCCTGTCATGTGGGTGTTAGCCCCTCTCGCCCCGAAATGCAAGAGTCTCATGCAACTGTATGGGCTTGTTAGCTTTACACAAAAGCTCCAAGAACGGCTCAGGGGAGCTAATAATTTATATCTTCCATCAGCTGACAAAAGAAAGAAGACCACGTTTCAGAAGAAATCCCGCTACTGCTTCCTCTGGTGAGGAGGGTGGCAGGGGAGGCAGAGAGCCCCCCACCCCGCCGCCGGCTGCTGCTCGGGCCTTCCTGGGGCATACACGTCATGCTGCCTGCCGCTGGGATGGGCCAGGCGTCTCAGCTGTGAGCAGGGACAAAGATGTGCTGGGGTCAGGGCAGTTGTGGCTGCCTGGGGCCTGTCGGCCTCGCAATTCCCCAAGTGTCCCAAGTCTCCTTGGCCGGGCCACCCCCACCCCAGCGCACGACACACGGGGCCACCCCAAATCCATTAGTTCAGATCAGGAGGATCTGAAAACACAAGGGCCTTGAAAAATCTCAGGGAGCCCTGGAGTGACTTCCCAACCCAACCAGACAGCAGAGACAGCACCTGGGGAGAGCGGGGGCTGACAGCGACCCGAGCACCACGCTGAGGACAGAAAGACGGGCCACCATTTCCTGCATCTCTCGGATAAACCGTGCCACTAATCTCATGAGCACACACAGTTGGGGGATAGCCCTTCCAGCAGCAAAGGACACACGTCCTGTTTCAACAAAAGAAAGCCAAGGGGAAAATCAAACTCTCGTGCTCCAAAATATTCGAGAAGCAGACAGAACTGGTTCACTGAAGGAAAGCTTTAGGCCCTCAGCAGAAGACAGTAAATATCATGGACTCAAGAAGTGCCTTCCCTCCCTGCGAGAGCCACGGTCCCCAGAGTCACCAGGAGTCAGCAACCGAGAGAGACAGAGAGAACTCCCAAGCTTGAGACAGTTCCTGTGCATAACCAAAATTTAAAAGAAGCAGGTAGACAGGGGAAGTCCCGGCCCTGCTCGGGGCAGCATCAGAGCTGTCTCCCATGGGGGCCCAGTCAGCAGGCTCTGCGCTGTGTCCCCGTCAGAGAATCGCTGTTCTGCAGACTTCCGTACACCCTGGCTGGTCTGTGCACTCAGCCCACCCTGTGCACACACGTGTGCACGTGCACACGGCAGCCTCTCTTCTCAGCTGATATTCGCCTTGGGAGCAGTCCAAGTTAAAGCTGAGATCCAATCTGGGCGCCCCTCCTCCCCCACTCAGAACCTAAACAAAGTAGAAGGGGAGCAGCTTTCTGGAGACATGCCTCTAAATAGATTCGACTCTTCTTTCCACAGGCAAAACTTAAAATTAAAAGGCAAGAGCAACAGCACCCCAGCGGCTCTTTAAAAAGTTAAAATTAATTTTCTCATTAATAATTTTAAGAACACACTAAAACCACACCGGGGAAAAGCCCGTTGGATGCACAGGGCTGGGCCTGCCTAGCCTCTGAACACAGGTATTTAGCAGAAGTTACTTTACATACAATTCAGGAAGGGTTAACAAAAAAAAAAAAAAAAAGGAGAGATGTTGGGGTAAAAAAGATGGGGTTGCCAGGCAACGCAGACAAACTATATATAAAGCAGAACAAGCTTCTAGATGAGTCTCTGCGTGTGGGGGCTCTCGGGGGGATGAGGGTGCTCCGGTTGCTGCTGCCCGGGGGCAGGAGCCCGAGCCCGGCGGCCGACCTACCGGAATGCCCTTGGTCTCCAAGATGAGGCTGGGCACGTGCCGTGCGGACAGGCCGACGCGGATAGCATTGCGGATGCTCTTCACCAGTTCAGGCCCGAACGTGTGGCCAGAAGCCATCTTCAGGAAGAGGAGCACCCTCTCCTCCCCATCCTTGTTGTACTGGGGGACACAGAGGCTGTCCATCACCTCCTCGAAGGCCTCCACTGCAGACACAGGGGAAGGGGCCACATCTCGCACCGGCCCACCATGGCCGGTGAGGAAGGAGGGGGAAGCCAGCCGCCCGAGCCTGCTGGGGACAGCTGCCTCTCCTCCACCCTCCTGGGAAGAGCCCCTCAAGGCGAACAAGCAGAAGAACGCCCATCACTGGCAAGGGTCGGAGCTTTAGCTTGAGCTGCAATGGTCGATGTGTTTGTAAGAAGCCAAACACAGGCCTTACTCGCTTAATTACAAATTAATTTAAAAATAAAAAGGCAGCAAGTACCAGTGGTGGGGACTCCACTGGTGGGAGGAACAAAGGCCGGAGGCAGACAGATCAGGACTTCTCCATCCTGGCCACACAAACAACCCTGACATGACATCTGTAGGAAGCCACCTCCTACAGAGGCTGACTTTGGGGCCTGGGTGGGGCATTTTAAAGGCCCACGGATGACTCTACACTGCAGCTGTGAGGCCCACTGTCTGCATGTGGTGTCCCGAACGGTGCCATGTGACCTCCAGGAATCACACAACCTCTCTGTGCTTCTCCTTCTTCACCCGTAAGGACGAGACACAATTAAGCAACCCAAGGTTGCTCACTGTGAAGATAAAATGTAATGGAACAGGGATGGGCCTCTGAGGCTTTATGGCTACAAGCAATGTGGATGAGGTACGTTCTAGAAAGAAGGACATGTTCTCACAGCCTCTGAGGCAAATGGGCTGGAGTTATGCCAAAAGGCGGGCTCTTTGGAAAGCAGGCTCTGGGGCTCCCTCTAGGACACACCCTCCTTCCTTCCTGGATGACTTGAGAATAAATCGAGGAGAAAGGGAAAATACGTACCGATGTTATAGATTTCCGAACTGCCGAATCGCACTCCGTTGGGGTTGAGCGTGCCATCGCTGGAAAGAGACACAAGGTCACGAACACACAGCGGGTCCTGAGTGAGGCACGTCACCCGGGGGGCGGGGGCAGTTACCCCCTTCCCACACGGGAACACTGGGTCCAGTCATGAAGGCTCCCCCGCCCCCCCCGGCTCCTTATCCCCACTGGTCACCTTCTCTCTCTAACTCCAAGCCAGACAACAAAGCAGTCCCCTTTGTGTGGAAACACCTGTCACCCCCCTGCCCCTTCCCACCCGTATAGGCATGCCGTGCGCCCAATACCCACACACTCCCCGTTCTGGAAGGGCCATTGCTACCGTGGACGGACACACCTTTGCCACAGGCCCACCACCCCACTCTGGGCACAGAAATGTGGATCAGGCCCAGACCTGGCCTTCGGGGAGCTGACGCGGGATGCCTCCTGTCCCTGCCTGGATGCCCCGGGAAAGGGGGCTCCAGGGAAGAGAAGCCCTCTAAAGACCCTCACCTCCGGCCCAGCATGATGATGCCCCCAGTCTTGGGGTTGATTCTGCAGTAGTCGCCATGCGCCCAGACACCTGCAGGGAGGCAGAGGTGCTCAGTTACCCCAAGGAGAAGGGGTCCTGACCAGCTGCCTGGACAGATGGCCACGGCAGGCAGGACAGTAACGGGATGCTCGTCAACAGACACGACTGAGGCACAGAAACAGGTATGGAATGGGGCTGGGGCCCAGGGGTAGAAGTGGCCTAGACCATTCCCGCCCCCAGGAGCACAGCGTCTAGCAGGGGCCCCTGTGCGCCCAGTTCTGACACGCACCAGCACACAAGAGAACGCCACTCCTTCAGGCGCCAACGAGGGCCTCACGAATTCCCGGGGTTGGGACCAGCCCCGGCAGGGAGGGTGCGAGAGGCGGCCAGGGAAGGTCAACGGGAGATTTGGGAGCAGGCCCTCTGAGTGAAGGGTAGAAACTACAAGGCACGCTTTAGGAAGACAGGGTTGTCTGGGACAGCGAAGGGGGCTAGTCTGGTGGGGCTGGGCCATTCTTGGAATGGGATAACAGCAGCAGCGCGACCAGTGGGAAGCTACTAGAGGCCCGAGCGAAGGCACAAGCCGTGTGCACAGAGCTAACTGGCTGGTAAAACCCAGGGGACAAGGAAGGCAGGGGAATGGGGTGGGGTGGGGGCAGGGATCAGAGGTGACCCTGAAACCAATCACCTGCACCATCCCCGTGTGGCCTAGTGTGCAGCTGGGGCCTGGGATGGCGACATTCCCAGGGAGGCCCTCGTCTTGGCATACAGCAAAGCTAATATCCCCAGGGATCAAAGCGCCAGCCTTGGCCACCTCCTCCACCGGCACGGAAGAGGAAAGAGAAGTCACACCTCAAGGGAATTGCCAAGGGAGCAATTAAACCAGCCAGAAGCTTCCTCCTGCCGCCAAAGGCAGTGACCCTGATCAGTCGCATGAACGGAGGCCAAAAGGGTGTGAATGACGGACAGCACATCCCCCTGGCTCTCGGCCACCCGGAAGTCATTTCCCCAGGGGCAGCCTGGCCTCCTGAAATGAGCCCCAAGACCCTGCGGCCCAGAAAGGGCATCTGAGAGCACCTCCTTCCCTGCAATCCTGGAGACACTCCCTGGCTGGAGGTGTGAACCGCGTCCGCTTGCACCTGCCCGGGAGGCGCCACCCGTGACAACATACTGCATTCATTTATCCCCTTGCTCATTCACTGTCACGAGGAGACGGCACGAGCAGTGACTAAGACTCCTGCCCAGATGAAGGCCAGGACATCTGTCCATCTGGAGGTAGTGTGGTCCTTGGGAGGCAACTTGGGAACGAAGGGCCTCCTGAGCTCATTTCTTCTGGTGCAAAAGAGGGCTGCAGGCCTCCAGGTCCTTCTCCCCTCCTCGCCATGCCAAAGGCAGAAACCCCTTCCTCCTGATGGGACTTGCAAAAGACTCATGTACACAAACAGGGGAAAAGAATCATTCCCAAGACTGCAAGCGATACGCCAAGTTTCTGCAGAAGCATATCTGACAGCTACTCTGAACACCGGGCTTACAGACGCCATGTGGGGGGAAACAGGGCTGCAGACACGGCCACAGGGCACGTCCCACCCGCCCGCCCCCAAGTCCTTTCTCATCCAGGGACCGGGCGCCCGCCCCCCACACAGTCTGGGTTGTGCAGAGCCGGCTCTCCCAGGAGTTTGACCATGAACGCAAGGCCCTGGAAATGGAGACAAAACGGAAGATGCAAATGCACCCTGAAGGAACTGTCATTTGTGAAAATACAATGAAGCACTTCCACCTCGTACAATCCAAAGTCGGGAGAAAAAATTCACACAGGGCGGGTGGCTCTGCTGCCAGGTGGTCACGGCAGAGAAATGCAGGCTTCCCTGCAGGTTTCCGTGCCCCCAGCCAGCAGTTCCAGCTGTGCTCACCACATTGGTTCCTTCCGCCCCCTTTCAGCGACAGCACGCCAGCGCGACAGGGGAGACCCAGCCTTGCTCTGGCTTTCCTCCTGGAGGAAATCTTCTACGGTGAGCATGTGTTTTTGGGCATGAGAGAATGATGGCATGGCTTTCCACATCTGTAGATGCGCCATCGTGAATAAACCGCACACGCTTCTCTTATGGAAGGACCTAGGACTCCAGCAGTTACGACTCGGGGCGTCTTCCCACTTTGAACTCTTCTGATGTGGGCTGAGGGAAACTTTGGCTGTCTCCATGTCATCAAGCTCAAAGTCTTGACAGTTGGTGGGCAGGTCTGGCCTCCTGAGTGGACTGTGTCCTGCACTTATCTGGACCCATTTTATTTCCCTTTTTGCCTTGGCTGCCAGGAAACTCAGAGCTGAAATCATTGCTTTGTAGAATCAGAATGGTCTAAATCTTCCTTCAGTCTGCTTTTAATTTCTCTTTTAATTTTTACTAGGTTTTTAAAAATGATAAGATATAAAGAAAAGCAAGACAGTTCATAATTCCCCCACTCAAATAACCCTTTGTTGTGCATTTATTCACAGACTTACACACACACACTTCCTTTTCAAAGTTGATACAAAAGAGAGAGATACTGTTCCCTCTGCTGAACTTCTTCTTTTTGCTTACTGATTTCTTGGATCTCACTGCCTGCTTACATTTTCACCTGGCCTAATGATGTCGATGTCTGTGAGTTTGCTTCCTGCTACAGAAACGACAACCTTGGCCTCCAGCTGTTTCCTTTAATCACCAATTCCAGTACAGTGTCAGAATGTCCCAGTGGTGGGGCATGGACAGTCAGGTTCTCTCTGTCCCTCCCACCCACAACCAACAGCTTCAGAGTCCCATTATCTTAATTGCTTTCCTCCTTCTGTACTGGCTCATATACCTCCCCCTACTCTCAGAAAGTATCTGAGGAAACTACTTATAAAACCGACTGCATGATGAGATTCTTTAAAGAGAATCAGAAACCCTGCCCTGGGGGTAGAGGACTGCTACAACCAAGCAATGATTTCAACTCTGAGCTTCCTGGCAGCCAAGGAAAATTGGAAATATAACAGGTCACAAAATATGTGTTTTCTCCAAGAGGGAATACCAGAAGTTCAAAAAAAAAGAAAGACTCTGAAATCAATCCTGAGACATTTATCGTGTAAACCCTGTATACGTAACAAGTTCTAGGAAAGACAGTTTCCAAAGACCAATGGGCAGTATTGCAGAAGACAAGAGACGGATTTCTTAGATGAATCCTCCAGCTGAGATTCTACTCTCTTCCTAAGACAGGAGCCCCTGCCCTGTCCTTCAGGGTCATCTGAGGAACGCTTCTCTCTCTCTCTAAGCTCCCTCTATCCCGCCTCACGCCGTCTGGGCAGCTGCATGCTGGCAGGACCCAAGGTGGGGCTTAAGTACGGCAGGTACCCAGTGGAGACCAGGCCACATCTGGGGTGCTCCTCCAACGCCCACGTGGGGGTGCGATGCCAGATTCGGTGGTTTTTATGTGGGACGTGCAAACGTGCAAAGCCAGGCGGAGAAACGGTAGGGGTCCACAGCAAATTCTGCCCCCGACGGCCACCTGCCCTTCTCTGATCCTCCACATGCAGTTAACGCAAAATCAAATTACCTTCCTAGAGACCGAAGAAAGCAAACACTTGGAAAAAACCACTCTGGGGCAGAGGGCTTGCTACACTGTGACTGGCAGAGCTGCGCCAACTCGCGCCTGCTGACAAAGGAAGGTAAGGGCAGACGGGAGTCCGAGCTTGAAACAAAACACTTCCCTGCTCGGGGGCAAGGCGCCACTCGGAAGATGGAACGCGAGGGTGTCAGTCTGTGTGAGAGAGACAGGCAGGTTGTAAATCATCCCACTGCCAAAGCACTCCTCCTCCAATACTCCCGTGAGGACCGGGTGAGGGTGCACGCACGGCAGAGAGGAAGAGCCCCAAGCCAGATTGCTCCTGAACACGCTGTTTCTGTCCGAACTGGCAGGCACAATCCTGGGTAGGTGTGCGGCCCGCAGCCCTCCCTCGGGCAAACCGGTGCTCGTGCCGGCCCCCCGCAGCCGCACACGGGGCCCAGGGGCGCTGCGCACAGAGGCTGGTTAAGCATAAACCGCCCCACGGGCGCCCAGGTGGCTCAGCCGGTTGAGCATCTGCCTCTTGGTTTTGCTCAGGTCCTGATCTCAGGGCCATGCTCTCAGGATCCTGAGATCTCCTGCATTGGGCTCCACACTCAGCAGGGAGTCTGCTTGAGATTCTCTCTCCTTCTCCTTCTCCCTCTGGCCCTCTCCACCCACACTCATGCACTCTCTTTCTCTCTCAAATAAATAAAATCTTTAAAAAAAGGAAGAAACTAACCCAGACTCCAGTTTCACATGATAGCTTCAAGCTGAATGTGACAAGATACTGACCCGACATTCATTCTCACCCCACCGGCAGAAGGAGCTGTGAGCGGCAGGGGGGGGGGGGGTGGGGGGGTGCGGGGGGGAGGTCCAGAACCAGACCCTGAAGGCCCAGCCCCAGCGGAGTCTGGGCAGCTCTGTCTGCATCCCCGACAGACCGACCTACCTGGGAATCTGGAGAAATAGGCCTTCCTGTACTTGCTCCCATTCTCATCGTTCCAGAAGCACGTGGGCTGGCAGGGGATCGGCTTGGTGCACACCAGCTCACCACTCTCTCCCCAGATTGCCTTTCCTGGTTCAGGAAGAATGAAAAACTAATGTGACCACACACAGCAGCCACACACCGTGGTGCATACTCACGCTCTCCGTCGCTTACACACCCTACTTGGGAATGACCCCCAGTGACCTTCCCTCCCGACTCCCCCAAACCCCTCTTCTAAAGGAAATTTATCTTTCCCACATGTGTATTAATACATTCACTCCATCAACACGTGTCTCTGAACAACACAGTCATCCCGCGTGTTTCCAAACTGCGCAAACGGCATCGTGCTGCGTGCGTCCAGCACCCTGCTTTGCTCTCCCAGCGTGGGGTCGGGGTGATTCGCTCATCGGCTACACGCTGCTCCAGTTCATCTGTTTTCACTGCTTATAAGTCTTCACGTGCGATTGTGGCCATTTATTCCTCCTAAAGGGGAAGCTCTACTGTTCCCAACTCTGTTCCCTGCTGCAAACATGCTACCACGAACACACGTGCACGCCTCTCCTTGCTCATACGGGCAAGTATCTCCCAGGAATGGGATTCCTGCACCACCGGGTCCCAACCTATCCTCACCTTCACTCACTACTCCCGACTTGCAGGCTAAGGGGGTTGCACCGAGTCCCACTTGCTCCACAGGGCACGCGGTCTCCAGCCCCGGGCACAGCACAGGCCGGGGAAGCCGAGGAGAGAAGGCAGCACAGCATCCCTCCCAGTGAGTGGGCCCATTTATCCAGCACCTTTCACAGCACGGCACCGCGGGTCTCGCACTGAGAAGTCACCATCCCACCGTGCGTCCTGGGAGGCTCGAGTTTCCGCATTTCCTTTACCTGGCCCAGCTCATCCCACCCCACAGAACCCCCGAGATAGAGGACAGACAGACATCTGGAAGCTGAAGAGACGGCCATTGGTTTCTCTCCGCCAGGAGCATCTCCCCCCGACCAGGCCACAGAATGTAGCAGTGACCAAGACCAAGAGAAATCGTTCGGGCGGTGGGGAAGAAAACAGATATATGGGGCCGAGAACTTTTTGTGAGCACCAGGGAAAAGTCCTCTTCTGAAAGTAAGAACTGATTTTCGGAAAGGTCTCTGGCAACATTTTCAGTGAACTAGAAAGAGAGCTCCTTCCTGTGCTATCCAGACTTACAGCCCCTAACCTGGTGGAACCACCATGGCTGACGTCTCTCCCTCTTCCTCACACAAACTCCCCATTCACTCTGCCCAGTTAAAATAACAGTGGCTACAGGGCAAATTTGTACAGTGCACACACCACATGCCAGGCCAGGCCCTGTTAGGTGCTGGAGATACAAACAGGCTTTGCTGATTTACCAATAGCCACTAAGAGGCTACAAAGCAAAAGCTCGCCCTGAGACTGTCAGAGAGGCCAACCTCCAGCTCCCTCACTGGGTCCGGGTCAAGGTGTCAGACCAGCAGGGCAGTGGGGCTGCCTGAGCAGTGTCTCTGGGGTTTGGGCACCGGGAGAACAACGGCCCCCCTGCAGTTCCTGAACACAGCTCTCCACTGTGCTCCCGCCCGACACTGACTGTTGAGGCGGGCAGGCCGAAGGGGGCTGGGGACGGGGAACCGGGTGGGTGGCTAGAAGTGAGCTGGGCCGCCCCTCTCAGGGCAGTTACACATCCGAGTGCTTCCGAGCTACCAGTCACGCCCAGACACAGAAAGGAAGACGGTTAGTGAAGCCATCACCTTCCTCGTTCCAGGCTTCCACGGCCATGCCCAGGTTCCGGGCCTGAATCTCCCCTTTATACACAGGAATAGAAAAATTCTGGCCCATGAAGCAGGAGATGATGTCAGTGCCACCTGCAAACAAAGGAAAAGGAGATCCAAAATTCAGAAGACAGACAAATAGCCTCGTTTTTTACTGTGAACACCAAAGGAAGAAGACCCTAAAACACAGGTATCACTACTCTTTCTCCAGGTAAATACTGAAAAATCCACGGACAGTTAGTGCTTCTTTTCAGGGAGAAATGGGGAAGATGATTTAGAAATTGCAGCAAACCACCCATGTCTGAGTGATTTATTTTTTGACCGAGCCTTCCTGCTGGATAAGAGACAAAATAAATGACCTCTTGTGGTCACAATGAAATTCGAGACTCGGGCTCACGGAAAATGGAAGCTTCGCCCATTAGCTCTACCCCACAGGCACTGCTTGGGCAGATGGCTCACACAGAGGCCCTCTGCTGTGGCTGGAGGAGCCGCACCCTTGGGGTCCGTGCAGGCTGGGTCTCAGATAGGAAAAACGCCGATGCCGGGAAGGAGCTCAAAAGGGAATCAGATCCTGAGAGGCACTGAGAGGAACGGCAGGAGCCCCCAAAGCTAGACCCACTGCTGCCAACGACTGTCCCTTCACTCAGGCACTTGGGGCGGGAAGGGACCCCAAGGGGGACGTGAGCACACAGAGCCGGCTTCCTGACTCCAGCGACTCCTCTGCATACGTGTGTGTGTGCACGCGTGTGTGTGCCGGGGAACATGCCCCCGTAACTGAAGCAGCAGTCCCTCCTTCACCGTGGCCGGCGCGCGCGACCCAGGGTGGAGGGCGCTCGAGAGCCACGTAAGACATCTGGATGCTTCCAGCAACCAGCAGGCTTTCATCCTGGCCTCGACTCGAAACTGATTGTACTTCTTCCCTCAGACAGAGGCTGGAAGTGTGATGTCCCCTCTGCCTTCTCCTGACACCTCGGGTCACGGCAGGTGTGCCCCATGAAAATGAGAACCACGCTCATCTCAGTGGCCGGCAAGGACTGACCAGCGCTCCAGGCCCCAGGGAGGTGTGAGCGCTGCCCCCCGAGGCTTCGGATGCTCTCTAGGGGACGCTGGGATGCGCACAGCACCAGCCCAGGGCTGAGGGTCCGACAGCACCGGGTCAGCCAGCAGTACCACTCAGACATATTTCCCGAAGCTTCTGCAAAGCAGCATTCTGGGCAGGTAATACGTCTGGCTCTCGCTTGAGACAAGACCCAGAACTCTGGGAGGGTGAGGAGTGGATGTGGATCCCTGCCACCTGGCCGGAGACCCTCTCCACAGACAACCTTCTCATGCACACAGGCCACCTCAGACACACTATTCCTGCTTCCCCCCCCCCCCCCCCCCCCCCCCCCCCCCCGCCCGCCGCCCCCGGAGTATCTTGAAGAGTGTTTTGTGTCAGAACAGGAGAGCTATTATGTTTCCAGGACCCGCAGCATTCCACAGAGTGATACACAGGCAGAAAACATTGATAGATGTCACCTGTCACGAGGCCAATGACCCCACTAAATAAATGGCCAGAGCCCCAGCAGGTCCGCCTACTCGGCGGGCAGCATTCATATGGAAAGGCCCCTGGAGGCCACATGGTAAAATCCATCCCTTTTAAAGGCAGGCAAACTGAGGTTCAGAAGGAAAGGGGATGTCCCAAGGCCACTCTCAGATGCTGGCGGGACCCCAGCCCTCCCTGCCCACCAAAACAGCTCGAGACACCCAGCCTCAGGCCACGGGTCCAGCTGGAAGGCGGACGGCTGGCAGGGCAGCCTCGGGCTTCAAGCACATCACACGGCATCTTTTAAAGATGTGTTTTCAGAAAAATAAATTAAAGTCATCTAAAGATTCTGATGAGCTATGACAGAATTAACTCCAAGTCACACTGTTAAGGGGGAAATAATGGAACACCGTGAACCCTAAGTTAAACGGGTCTCACCCCATCGACACATGCTCCCCCACCTACGTACAGACGCCCCCGGCAGGAAACAAGCACAGGCTTCCTTGGGGAAGGAGGACGGGCCAGGGCGGTGGGGTGGACACCACTCTATTTCCTTTTTGGATTCTGAATATTTTGCAACATGCACAAATTGTCTTCATACAACTTCATGTAGGGAAAAAAGGGAAGAGGAAAAAAAATTGAAATTTCACTTGAAATCCCAACACCCATACACACACACACACACGGGTGTACACACGCCCCCCCAACATATTCCTTTTCTTGATCTACAAAAATGACCACGCTTGTAATTCTGCAATCTGCTTCTCTCACTCAACATATCACAACTCTTTCAGTATCAATAAATATGTTTCTATCTAAATAAGAATTTTCAACATATCCCTCCTAACAGCCGCAAAAATTAAGGATGCACCATAAATTAGTCAATGAATCCCCTTCTACCAGGCATATAGGTAATTTCCAGCTTTTAACGAATATAAACGATTTTGCAACAATTGTTCTCATCCCTGGCCAATCCTTATTATTTACAGATTCTGTATTTGCAAATTCTCCTACTCGCTAAAATGTATGACCTCAGGATCAACACTCGGGGTGCCTTCAAGGTCATCTGAGACCATGAGCCAAGTGGTGGAAATCTCGAGATGCCCCCCACGCACGTCCCCAGCTGCGGGGCAACAAGGCGGTGCCGTGCTCTGGTTTCAGCTCCCGCTGAGAGAAGACCAGGGGACAGCGAGGGGAGGGGCAAGGGGCGCAAGAAGCTCTGGCCGGGGGGCCGGCCACACGGCACCCTGTTGGGAGGCTGCTCCGGCAAGTCAGTTAACACTTCTGAAACTTGTTTTCTCTTCTGTAAGGTAAAGAGAACAGAATCTACCAGAAAAGGTTGTTTTCAGAAATAGAAGATTATAATACAAGGTTGTTTTCAGAATATAAGATGAGATGTGTGTGCGTGTGTGCGCGCGTGTGCATACCTCCCCCAGGAGCGATGGTTCAGCGGTCACTAACTCAGCGACTTTCTAGAACTTAACTGTCATGAACGAGAAGAGCCAACTGTGCAGAGATGTGCGTCCTGCTGTTTACTCGGGACGAGTTCAAGACAGCGGACCTGGCGGGTCAGAGGCTGTGCACGCTTACAGGGGGCCAGCCTGGTCGTGCCCCACTTCCCCTGCTTCCTCCCGAACCCCCTCCCCACGGCGCAAGCCCTACCTGAGATGGAGCCCAGGAGGACGCTGTTCTTGATGCACCTGTAGACGTAGTCGTAGCTCTGGGCTTTCAGAGAGGAGCCGGTGGACAAGACCGTGTGAAGTGTCTGCAGACTGTGGGTTTCCACTAGGGCCAAGCAGCACAGAAAGATTAAAACTAAGCCCGACACCTCTGTTCTGGCCTGCGTGCACGAGACAGGCAAGAGAGTGGCTCTGGACTCCTTGGCTGGCAAGGCGCGGTGTAGGCCAAGCGTCCCGAGGGGCATACTGACCTGGCTTCATGTTTTTCTCTTCCAGGATGGCCAGCCACTTGGCACCCGTTCCAAGGATGGTGATGCTAAGGGCACAGGAGGGAAAGAAAACAGAAACTCTCAAGGCTCCTGCACATTCCACGCTCCAGAGCTTTCTAAAATTAGTGACTTGTTTCTGGCAAGTTTGCAAAATCCGAGACACATCATTTTTCTGGGCTGAATTAATACCCAGTGTTCAGCAAACACCTGCGTTGACTGCGGGGTTCAGCAGGGACAGGTCTGCACCCTGACTCCAACACACAAGGAGCCCTGGCCCCCTGAACACGTGGCTCCATGTGAGAGACAATGACGCGCACATCAGCCCACGATCTTCCCAACTGCAGGGTACTTGCCCTTTTGGGACCAAAGGAGGCCAGAAAACCAAGGCCCCTCAAGTTCCAGCCTCACGCGAGCCCCTTCCACCAAGGTGGAGAGGGCAGCAGGACCCTCTGTGGGAGCAGGGCCCGTCCTGGGCATTCAGGACCCACCCCCTGTTCTTAAATGACTTACAAAATCGCAGCTCTTCTCGTTTCAAACGTTTAGAGTCTACGGTCCTTTCCCCCACATCCACACGGAGAACGACACCATGCGGAGCGTAAATCACTGTATTTCTGGGGGAGAGCGCAATTTATCATTCCATTTACCTCCCAGTTGTTCTTGCAGCCAGGCAGCCCTTGACCTGCAGACCCTCTTCCTAACTAAATAATGCCTTGTCTTTCGGACCCAAAGGAGGCTGCAAAATCCAGGTCCCTCTGCATCCCTCTGGGCAGCAAAAACCTCATCCCCTCGCCCCTGGGTGGCATCTCCCTCTAGGAAGACAGCCACATGCTGTCTGAAGCTGGAGTGGCTGGGCGGGGAGGGCCCCTCGAGCCTGCTACCCTTTGTTCCTCCCGGCCCCCCCCTTCACTTCACGACCACCACCCTGCCACCACTAAGCCGCCCACTGAGACTTTAGGCACCTCCCACGTCCCCCGTGCTTACTGCATTAACTCAGCCAGTCTGGTTCACAAATTCAAGGTCACCTCCAAGGACTAAGGTGTCACCCTTTCAGGAATAGCTACATTTTTACAGAAGATAAGGCACGCTATCAGCCTCTGATGGTGGAGCAGTGACCGCCCAGCCACCGGCACCAAGGTCTCCAGCCACCAACCACACCAAAACGACATTCCTTATTCTGCACAGCCCCAGAATCAACGGCTCTCTGTGGTTCTTTCCATATCCCTGTGAACCCTGACCTTGGCAATGCACAGAGACCCTGAACAGGTGCTGGGTGGGGGTCACAGGCCTGCTTGTCGGAAGAACGGGAAGTTCTCCCCATCCATCTCCAGGGCTTGCAGGAGATGTGTAAAAACACACTCAGCTCATGAAGCATGGGAGCTTTGTGTGGGTGCTCAGCACTGCGTATTGTTACGGAGTACTGCCGGGTCGCTGCACAAAGCATGAGGCAGCTTCCCGGCTGGACAGGTGCCGGCCCCAGTGCCCCAAGGGCAGCTCACAGACAGCGCTTCCAAGGCCACCCACCCCGTGCCTGGGGAACTCCAACAGCCGAAGACCCATCAGTTTCCCTTCGTCTGCCCTTGCCCTGCCACCTCCCCCCCCCCCCCCCGCCCCCCCCCCCCCCCCCCGGTTCATTCTCCACTCAGGAGCAACACTTAGCCTTTAAAAACACTGGGTTGTGTTGCTTCCAGTGGTGTCGCGTTTCATGCTGAAAAGCACCCACCGTCCAAACCAGCCTGACAGTCCCAGAGGGACCAGCCTCCTGCCCCCATCCCCCAGCCGGCCCCACATCCACCCTTCACATTCACAGCACGGGGGCTCCCCGTGCACACCTATGCCAGTCCCACCTTAGGGCCCGGGCACTCACCATCCCACTGCCTGGAACATGTTTTGTGTCCCCTCCCCAGGCCTGAGGTTCAGACCCCAGCGGCCTTGCCTCCAGGGCGCGTCCCTGACCTCAGGGCACCAACAGCATTTTTTCTCTCTCCTTCTTCCCCCATTTGGGTGCAGCCCCATGAGGACAGGGACCCGCTTGCCTCCACCACTGCTATGCACACGCCACGGCCCAGCAGGGCAGCTGGTGCAGAGCAAACACCCAGAGATGTGCAGGACGCGGACCTGACCCTGCAGACGGCTGTCCAGCAAGTCCACTCTGCCAGATGAGCCCGTCATTCCCCCCATGCACCACCTAGACCTCTCCTACCCAGAGACAGGCAACACGGGGGGAACTCAGGTGGTTTTGATGCTGGCCCAGGTACACGCAAAGCCTGGACAAAAGACCCCAGAGTTCTGGCCCCAACTCTAACCCGAATATTCCCCAAGCCAGACTCCCAGAGCCCAGAAATACACCCCAAATGACAAAGAAAATTCATCTTTTAGAAGAACCTTGTTTGTGTCTACAAAATAAATGCTGTTATCAGATATGTTAGTAAGTCTGAGCTGACACGTTAATAATCGGCAAAGATTTCATTCCTACGTTAGTCAATATTATTTAAAAACCCAGAGACCCTGAAATGGCCTGCAAGGACCCTGCTGTCAGCCGGCTTGGGAGAGCCGCTCCTCTCACCATAGACAGGTAGGATTTTATGTGACCATATGTAACTCAGTTTTAATTTTCAGCGGGGGGGGGGGGGGGGCGCACAGGTAAAGGTCAGATGAAGGTCTCCCACCACACCTGACCTACACCCCCTCCTTCAATGGCCGTTGGCAGTCAGAGCGGGTGTTTGAGGCCCACAGTCCTCCCAAGCACCCCTCCCCCAGCACCTGCCTGGCTGCAGAGCTGCACGGGCCTCCATGAACCGGGCAGGGAAGCTCCCAGCCGGGTCCAGAGGGGCCCTGTGGAGGGCCAAGGCCATGTCTCCAGCAGCGTCTGGGGCTGATGGAAGGCAGATGTTCAGGACGTGCCTACCACATCGGCCCAGACCACATACCTGTGAATGCTCAGACATGCACGCACACACACTCATTCATGCACTCACCCCCACGTGCACGCACAACCACAAAGGCACTCACTCTTGCTCACACATATTCACACACACACTTTCACGTACTCTCTCAAACCTGTACACACATACACTCATCCACACATGCAGACATACATACTCTTGCCCAGGCAAGCACACACTTGTGCACACATGCAGACACATACGCAAGTGCACGTACACACACACACTCACACACACACAGCTGGGTTTTCCTGGGGCCCTTAATCCTTCAAATTCATTAGCACTGAGCCCGAATAATGCATATTTTCTAACCGTCTTCCTGTTACACACGCACGCGCGTGCGCACACACACACACAGACATACACCAAAAACTGTCCCCACCTGGAGCCTAGCTCACAGGTATTAAGGGTAAAGCTCTTAAAGTCAACTCAGTTCCCAGGGATTCAATTAACCTTTCTCTGGAAACAGTCTCATTAGGAAATCGCCTTCCTCGCCAATATTGTGAGCCAAATGTCAGGATTTAAATATTACCCAGGCCAGGCAAAGTTATATTTGAAATATTAATGGCCAAGGATTTAAAAACATTAGTGGCTCTTCTAATGAACAGACCATGAACAGACTCAAACTTAGAGTAATGAGCACATTCCAGAGGCCCCTGGAGCTCTGCTGCTTCTGTATTCTCACCCCCAGAACCACGATCATTAGGCCAACAGTGACCACGGGCCGCAAGGGGAGGGGGGGACGCTTCCACCGGTTATGATTAATTCATCAGCAAAGAAAGCACTCACAGAACGGTCTCCTGACACTTTCCCCCAGTGACCATGAGGAGGGGAACTGGGAGAGGGAGGGCCCAGCATCCTTCCCCACGCTCTGCCTCTGCTCCTCTCGTCGCCCGACCAAGAAATGAGCCGTTAGCAGGACAGCATGGAGGCACAGACACCCTCATGCAGCATCTACAGGAACATTTTGGAGCAACCTTGTGACGGGTCCAAGAAGACTCCAGGGACAGCTGACAAAAGCAGGACTGTCCTCTCGCCATGAGGCTCAGAAGGCTGGCGGTGGGAAGCCCAGACCCTGTGAATGCCCCAGTGCTGGGCTCTGCGCCTGCCCTCCACGGGCATATCCACACCATCCCCCAGGCAGCCTGTTTTACACCCCAGCCCACCCTGGAGCTGGCGGAGCCCTGCGTGAGACAGAACCCTCACTGGCCCTGTCTCCCTTTCTCCTGGGCTTTTCCAGCAGTTCTAAGGCTCCAGAGTTATAGACACAAGATCCCATTCCCTCTCCTGATACCCTGATGTTCCAGACCCACTCCTGGCCCCTGGGGGTGGCCCCCATCTCCTTGGTCAGTCCCTGTCAGGACTGCCTGCCCCTTCCCACCCTCCTTGGCAACTTCAACCTCCCTCACCCTCCCTCGCCTTCTGAGGGGGCCAAGCGCTCCCAAGAAGACACCAATGCTAGAGCAGTCGACAGCACGGCGGCTCTGTGGCTGAGCACGGTGTCTCGGGCACCTACCCTATCCTGTCAATCAGGTCCCAGAGCACGTTGGGCGTGGGCACCAGGGGGGAGCCATCGTACAAGACCACAGCCGCCCCTGTGGCAAGAGCGGACACCATCCAGTTCCACATCATCCAGCCAACCTGGAACAGACAGAAGGAACACAGTGTCAACCGAACGCTGGGCCAGGTGCCCTTGCTTCTGCCACTCAGCTTCTCACGTCCCTAGAAAACCTCCTGAAACTGAGCCAACAGTTGGCAAGAACTGCCCATCTCCGATGCACGACACTTCACCCCAGCAACTCCACGCCAAGAGTTTCTTGTACAGATCCATGCACATGTGCACACTAAGATGGGTCAAAGGTGGTGTACTGCAGCCTCGCTGGGAGATGGAAAGCAAGGAGAGGTCCACCAACACAGAAGCGGCCCCACACACGCACATCTACTGTGGAACACCGCACACGAGTCCGTGAAGCCGCATCAGACATTTGGAACAGCACGTGGCAAGCCTTCAGGAGTCAGCCCACCGCCGCCATTCACAAGAATGAGGCCTGCGCGGACGTGGACCAGTCTCTGAGCTTACGTGTAAAACAAGCCAGCAGATGGGGTGCAGCATAACCCTGTCCACACACAGGAAAGCATGGCTGTGCACAAACCCAGAGATCCAGGCAGGCATCCACACATGCCATAGGAACACGCAGACCGCGTGTGTGAGCACGACCAACGCGGCCACCCCCGGCCCAGGAGGACCCTGATGTCTCAGCGTGTGAAGGTTATTCGTATGCAAAGAAGGCTTTTTTTTGTTGTTGTTATTTAAAAAACATTTTAAGGCAAAAAGGTGCTCACAAACCCACTGGCAACCGTGTTCCCATCCATGCAGGGGGAACTGTGGGCGGTTCCGGAGCTAAACCAACACAGCAAGGGAACCAAGGAGCCAGGGAGCCGGAGGAAAGCTCCAGCAGGAATGTCCTCCCGGGAGGCAGGGAGGGCCAGGAGGATGCCCCGCCCCGTGACCTTGTGCAGGTCCCACAAGGGGGACCAGGCACCACATGAGGCACGCCAAGCGGCCCACCGATACAGCCTGGTTAAGAACCCCCTGGTTAAGACAAGGGCACTTAAGAGACAACCAGCACAGAGGCTCAGCAAGCAGTCACCGATGGCCTGGGTGATGGGCTCAAGAACCCAGCGGGCCCCTGAAAAGCTACCTGTCCTTCCCCTCAGCGACACCAGCGCTGGGGTCACCCAAAAATCTCAAGTTAGTTAAGCTGCCTTTTCACCAGGTTTTAATATCCCTAGGTGAGTTTCTTTCACTAAGGAATTATTCTTAACAAAAGAAACCAGCGCTGGGCAGCCCAAGCAGCACCGTGACCCGGACAGTTCACTGTCCGAGGAAGCTGTAAAGTCCATCAGTTAGGGACGCGGCGCAGGCCTGGCTCGGGCTGCGGGGATCCCCGCAGCTGCTGTCACCCAAGGCTGGGGGCGCCAGCATGCCCCACAGAAAAAGCCACCTGCCCATCCCTCCCGAGCAGAATGCTTCAGGAAAAGTGAAATGCCTTTGGGAAAACCGCTCCAGATCTGAGTTCTTTTCATTATGTTCTTGCCCTCGATGTAAAACCCTGGCATCTTAAACCGTGAGTCCCAGGGAGGCAGCTGAGTTGAATATCGTTGCACCTGCCAGGGTCTCCCTGCAACTCAAAAGACGCTCCATCACACCGCTAGGCTTTCTGCATGAAAAGGGCCCATAGCCTGGCAGTGCCCGGCACCACTGGCCTGTGTGCGGGAAGGGGGGAGGAGGGTCGGGGATAAATCCCTGCAGCTGAGGGGAACCCCAATCACCGGGCCCAAGGCCTTGATTTTCAGCTGGACACGCCGAGTGACGAGGCAGCCTGCGCATGGCCACACATGCGGAGTGCTCCCAGAGTGAGTGCGTGGAGTGCCGGGCTCTGTCCCCAGGGGCACAGCCAGGGCCCTGGCCATCAACTTCACGGGCTGGGAACACATTCGGTTTCCTTAAAAACTCAACACAGAATTGTCATCCAGAAAACAGAGCTAAATCACTCTGAAACCTTTGGATATTTGCAGTTAGAAAAAGCCAACTTCAAGTTTTTCTCTTTTGGAATAAAACACTACTTCCTTTAACTCGTCCTAAGTGTTCATCTTACAGAGTTCAACGAGGACAGGAGTGTCTCCAACTACTTGAACCCAGGCTTTGGTTTAATGATGCATATCCCACACTAAGCCAGGAGAATGTGCTGGAGGCAGGGTCCCATCCGTCCCACGTCCAGTGACGTCTGACCCGGAGGACGCTGGCTTCCACTGTGCTATCTGCCTTTCCTGGGCACCTGGGCCCCGTCCTTGCTCAGCGAATGCAGCAGCCTCTCCAGGATTCTAGTGAAACACCCCAGGGAGAAGCGAGGTGGCCAGGCAGACCAGCTGGGTACCCGGGCTCGGCCACAAGGTGCACCGGCAAGGATTCGGGCCAGAACAGAACTCCTTCTGTGAGTGGGGCGCCCGGGTGGCTCAGTTGGTTCAGTACCCAAGTCTTGATTTCAGCTCAGGTCACAATCTCAGGGTTGCAGGATTAAGCCCCACATCAGGCTCTGCCCCTCTCCCTCTGACCCTGCCCCTGATCACATGCTCTTGCATGCGCTCTCTCCAAAAGAAATAAAATAAGTCTTTAAAAAAAACAACCACCACAACTCCTCCTGTGAGGGCAGCGCCAGCCAGCACACGCATGGGCTTAGCGTGGGGGCAGCTGGAGCCACAGGCCCACACCCACGGCAGGGACACGGGGCCTCCGGGGCTGGTCCTGCAATGGGGAGCAGCTCCAGTCCCCAGCACAGTCTCAGGCCCAACCCAGCCTCCACACCCAGACCCCCTGCTGTCACAGTACTTGGGAGAGCCACCTGTATACATTTCCTATTTCCACTCCAACAAACTGCCACACTCTGAGTGGCCTAAAACACCACAAATGCATTGTGTGAGAGTTCTGGAGGCCAGAAGTCCAAAGTGAAGGTGTCGGCAGGACTATGCGCCTTCAGGAAGCTCTCGGGAGGAATCTCTTCCCTTGCCTTTTCCAGCTTCAAGAAGCCACTCCCGCCCTCTGGCTCGTGCGTGACCCCACCTCACTCTGAACTCTGCTTCCCTCGCCCCACCTCCTCTCTGACGCTGGCCCTCCCGCCGCCCATGTACCAGGACCCGTGTGCTCCCGTTGGGCCCACCCGGCTCACGCAAGAGAATGCCCCCGTCACAAAACCCGTGACCGAATCACACTGGCCCTGAAGGGACCAAAGCGAGTGACGGGAGGGGCGCAGCAGACAGGAGGGCACTGCCCTGATACACAGCCCCGTTCCTGGCCCCTGGTGCCCTCGGAGCCCGCCTACCGTGGTGTAATACAGCAGGATGTCTCCGCTGCCCATGTTGCCGTGAAGAATGTGCTCCTTCAGGTGCTGGATGAGGGTGCCCTGGGGAGAGGCGGGACAGCAGTGTGAGCGCACACGGCCCAGACGCAAAGCCCCAGGGGGAGAAGCCGGCCTCCCTTCCCTTTCCCGGAGGAAGCAGACTTCTGAGCGCGCTCGCCTGGATGAGCGGAACTCCTGCGGCACCCTGCGACCTGACCCGAGAGTCACCGAGCAGCCTGCGAGCTCGGCAGCCACAGAGATCAGGAGCACCGTGGGACCCCAGCCCCAGACACAGAGAAGTGGGGAGGCAAAGTCACGGCCAGGGGCAGAAGGACGGGAGCGTGGCACGACAGCACGCGCCTGCAGCACGTGGACCCGGGAGCACGGTGACAGGGAAGCACTGGGGGGGTGCGGCTGCCACGTCTCCGCAGCGCACTGCGAGCCTCACACCGCGACACCCTGCCTTCAGCCCAGACACCCAGTCAGTCCCCAGCCCCCATGCACCGTCCACTCTTTCTTGACCTCAACGTTTAACGGGAAGTGTACACGCACGGCCCGATGCTCCAGAGCAGACAGCATGACAAGCCCCCCCCCCCCCGCCCCCCTTCTCCGGCAGCCGAGCATCACGTCCTGTGTGTGTTTCCAGGTATACTCCTGGCCTATCAGCGTGTATTCATTTACGCTGGCTTTTTTACTTGCACACATTGCCCTGCACTTTGATCTTTCCAGGTAACATACCTCGGAGCTCTTTATCCGTGCCCCGAGAGCTCCCTTGTGTTTTATTTTCAGCTCTGTAATACCCCACCGCCCACACCCCTCCTGCCGAACTTGTCCTGTCTGTCTGTGGCTCACAGGGCAGAGGGGGAGCACCCCACCTCCGAGCGCCATGTGGAGGGCAGAGCAAGGGGTCCTGCACCAGCCACTTAAGTGTCCCCTCAGCCTCGGTGCTCCCATCTGTGCGTGGATCTCATACACGATCCCAAGGCTACATGGGGCACTGCCCTTCGGGGGCCCCTGCAGAGGCCAGCCACCATACTTCAGTCTGCTCCACAGATGGGAGCACCTGGCTGGTGGCAATGGGCCCCCGTTGTTTCAGGACTATCGGGTCTGAAGCAAGGACCTATGTATCACAAGCAGCCTTTACAACCGATGTTCTTCATACCCAAGAGAAATAAAAACAAGCCTGCAGGCAGAGAGGATCCTTTCAAAGCTCAATGGAAACAGCCCTACCCAACAAATTCTCCTACCCCAGAGCACGTCCAGAACCAAGACCGTCGCCAGACCCACGAGGAGCAGCAGGGACCAGAGCCGCTCGGGGGCCAGGCAGACCCCAGCACAGAAGCTTCTGGGGGGGGGCGGGCAGGACCTTTCTGAAGGTCCCCAAGGCCACCTGCAGACCCCAGGTCTCTGGTGGCTTTATGGAGCGTGCATCATGGGGGTCGGGAACAGCCCCCCACCCGAGGGGGTCGCAAGCTTCGGTGCAAGTTGCACGACACAGCACTCTCCCTTGGAACCGGGCGGGGGTGGGGGGACCCGCCTGGGGCCAACAATGACTTCCGTGAGCATGAAGTGTTCACATGCCAAATCCACTGCCAGGGCCAGGGGCCCCCGACAACAGGAGCCTGCGGCGAATCCCCCTCCCCTGTTCTTACTTAGAAGCGTCATTTAGTTGAGACCTGTTTCTTCATCAGTGTGGTCTGCTTCAAGCCGGGCCTATTTATAACCCTACATCTGTTCGCCGGTGCCTTCTCCCCCTCCTCGCAGGCGGCACAAAACAAGCCAGGCTTTGCTTCTCTCCCAAGAATCTCTCTGAATGAACCTTAATTCACAGCAGTTTTGCTCTTAATTTTTAAGTATTTATGGCTGAGTCTGAGGAGAAGGAAGTATGAGCAACATGACTTTGTGCATCTCAAGCAAAAAGAGGAATTTAATTTCATAAAGAAGAGGGAGGCTGCTTTCTGAGATCTCTTGTCAACTCGGAAAACACAAGCCTGCAAACCAGGAACAGCACCCCCAGGAAAGCAGGGGGCCGGCCCTCCGATCCCTCGCTGTGGCCCTCCGTCCCGCCGTGGCCAAGGCTCCCGTTGTGGGACTCTTGAACAGAACGGGCAAGATGCTTAGTCACTTCTCTGGAGATGCAAGGGCCCAGGGAAGACAGAATCAGTATGATTTTTCCTGACTTTTCCATACTCTAAATATACCAGGCATGATGATTTTATGAGCAAGCCACATTATATCTAATACATTTTTATGTTCCTCGCCTAAAAAAGTGACATTCACTATGCAAAAAGCACTAAAAATAAAAGTGCCGTTAGACATTTCAGTTTTTTCCTAAAATGTCAGTTGTTTTGCCACACATACTATCCACCCCGTCTACAAGGTTTCTAAAAACGCTCCGCTCTGCAGCTCGTTAACGGGCCTGTGACCAGGCCGACTAGAGCTCCCCTCTCCAGGGAAAATGTGATTCCAGCAACCAGAGCAAGTGACATCTTACTGTGTGTGATGTGTGATGTGTGTCTGTGTGTGTCTCCACACACCTGATGTGATTTAATAAAACAGGACGGTTTGAACCAGGTCAACTCACTCCTACAAAAAGGCAACTCAGTGTGGCCAGTGCTACTTGCAGAAATAAAGTGTCCCCCTCCCTCCTGCCCTGTGGCTTCCTGAGAAGTCGCCCACAGGCTCCCGGTGTATATAACCTGCAATCAGACCTTCAGCGAGTCTAAATCCAGGTAATAATGGAGCCGTGCTAAGTCCTTTCCCCATTCTGATGGAAACGCTCTGTGAAAAGCTGTGTAAGGCTTTAAAATGATTCAAATGTAAATGTCCCCTTTTAATGGGAGGGATTCAGACTGCTTCTAGGCATAGGAAACATCTGTAAAAGCTAAATGAACTAGAATAAGAGAAATTCCATATTTGATTTTCAAATGCTACCATCTTATGAAGCAATAGCTAGAAAGCCATTTGGGAACAGGAGCTTTCTCCTCTTGGACAACCCCCTTCTTCTGAGCAGGGCGAGAGAGAAGGCCATGACAAGGTTTGACCAAGAGCCTGTGGGTTTTTCTCCTCCCTCCAGGCTAAGCCAACTGAGGGAGAAGTGGGAAAGCGGGTCTGGAGAGGGCTGCAGAGCCGGCCGGGCAAGAAGCCCAGGGCGCCTGGAAGGAGCACCACAGGCACGGAGCACGGGGACTGGCCCAGGAGACGTCGGAGCGCCAGGCGGGGACTGTGCCTGAGTCAGAAAGCAGCTTTCCCATCAAGGCCAGGAAGACATGAGGAGGCCAGGAGGGGTCACAGTCGGAGAAAAGTAGCAAGTACACCCAGGAATGGTATCTCTGAAGAGTGACCTGGTTAGATGACAAGTACGGAGTAAACGGATGTCGGCTGCCTCCTGACCAGACATACGGAGAAAAACCCATCATCGTTTCCAGAAGGTGTCACCCAGATCTAAGCAGCAGGACACATCCAACGCATCAGGGAGCCATTGTGCAAGACCAGCAGCCACACTCCCAAAATGCCAATGTCGTCCCGGGGGGAGGAAGGCCGAGGAGCTGCTCTGGAGCACAGACCCGGGGTGGGGGGGGGAAGCAGGCTGCTGCGTGGGAGGTCGTGGGGGGGAGTGGAAGCACCTGGACGGGGGCCACATGTCACACGACAGTATCACATGGACGCCCATCTTCCTGAACTCGACGACCGTACAAGGGGTTTGTGAGGGAGCGTTCTTGTTCCCCGGAGACGCGCGCTGAAGTATTCGGGATGAAGGGCCGCACCCTGCAACCCACTCTCAAGGGGGTCAGCAAGAAGCAAAAGAATGTGTGTGTGTGTCTGTGTCTGTGTGTGTGTGTGTCTGTGTGTGTCTGTGTGTGTGTGTCTGTGTGTGTGTATCTGTGTCTGTGTGTCTGTGTGTGTATCTGTGTCTGTGTGTGTGTATCTGTGTATCTGTGTGTTGTCTATGTGTGTCTGTATCTGTGTGTGTCTGTGTGTGTGCGTGTGTGTATCTGTGTGTATCTGTGTCTGTGTGTGTGTCTGTGTGTGTGTATCTGTGTATCTGTGTGTTGTCTATGTGTGTCTGTGTGTCTGTGTGTGTGTGTGCGTGTGTGTATCTGTGTCTGTGTGTGTGCGTGTGTGTATCTGTGTCTGTGTGTGTGTCTGTGTGTGTGTATCTGTGTATCTGTGTGTTGTCTATGTGTGTCTGTGTGTATCTGTGTCTGTGTGTGTGTATCTGTGTATCTGTGTGTTATCTGTGTGTGTCTGTGTGTGTGCGTGTGTGTATCTGTGTCTGTGTGTGTGTGTATCTGTGTATCTGTGTGTTGTCTATGTGTGTCTGTGTGTATCTGTGTCTGTGCGTGTGTCTGTGTGTGTGTATCTGTGTATCTGTGTGTTGTCTATGTGTGTCTGTGTGTATCTGTGTGTGTGCATGTGTGTATCTGTGTGTGTGTGTGTGCGCGCGTACACACAGGGACAGAGGCCACGCAGAGGAGGCTTCTCGGAAAGCTTGCGGAACGGATGCCCAAACAGCAAGGCCGCCGGAGCCCGGCTGACGCGCCCGTGGAGCCCACCGTGCTATCCCGGCGGCTTTCCCACAGGCTCGCAGTTGCTTCAAGCATAAAAGGTTAACGCCACTAATCGATACGGATAAAATCTCACGCTTAGTAGCGAAGCATTATTTCAGGTGCTTCAGCAAAGCGGGACTTGTGATGAAATACAGGGAAACGAGGAGTGCGTGGGCTGAACTGGGGGTCCCCGAAGTCGTATGCTGAGGCCGAGGCCCAGGGCCTCAGAATGTGGCTACGTTTAAAGAGGGGATGAGGTCAGAGAGCCCACGAGGGCAGCTCCTAATCCATCCTGACTGGTGTCCTCACAAGAAGAGGGAATTTGGGCAAAACGCGAGAGCCCGGGGACGCGCGCCAAGCGAAGACTGCATGAGGGTGCGGGAAGAAGGCAGCCGTCTGCAAGCCAGGGACAGAGGCCCCAGTGGAACCCCTGACCCCCATCCCCGCCCGGGAACCATGAGAGCACGTGGCTCTCGTTGAAGCCACCTGCCCGTGGCGCTTGGTGACGGCAGCGCAAGCCCACGACTGCGGCCTGGTGAGCTTTCCTCAGCTACCTGCGCTTTGTAACCTGACCTGGCGGCTTTCCTGGGGTTTGGCCACAGCCCCCAGGCAGCTCTGTCCGAGCACGCCACGGAGCACGCGCGCACAGCCGCGCACGCCCTTCCAACACGACGGCGTCCGGGCACCGGCACCTCTCCTAACCCTCCGTGTGCTCACGGTTACTGTTCTCCCGGCTCTCCTCTCTTCTTTGTGCAATGCCGGCGGGGCCCACCCACCGCCTTCACAAGCACCTACAGGGTCCGGGTCTGGGAGTGAGCGGCTCACCCAGGGCATGCCCTGCCTTGGAGGCACTTTGGGACCCCTGCACCCATCGCAGGGGTGACGCAGCTCCCGGAACAGCAGCTCCGAGTGCCCGCGCTCGATCTCAGACCTCCATGCTGCCCACCCCCCACCCGAAGAGGGGCTGCATGACAGAGTCTCTGGGGGGCGGGGTGCAGTCTGGCTGGAGCGGGGGTTTGGCGTGCAGACTCAGATGGCTGTTTTCACCAGCTGGGAGTCCCCAGGGAAACAGACAGAGGGTGAAGAGACGTACCCCAGCGGAATGCACCATGCACTTGGGCGCCCCAGTCGTGCCTGATGAAAACATGATGAAGAGCGGATGGCTGAAGGACAGCTGCTCGAACTCCAGCTGTGGGGCCTGCTCGCCTTTCCTGGTTGCAAGAAAGTCATCCAGAAACACGCTGGGGGCAAAACACACAGAAACAGACAGTGAACATTCCAGAATGCTGGGTTGCATCTGCCGAGGTTTCCTGGGCTAGACGTGGCCTCTCGCTGCCCTCTACTGCTATATCTTGTAGGATTTCCAGGGAACACTAACCTTGTTTGGAAGCTTTCCGTAAGGGAGGGGAAAAATCAAATCTTTATGAATTCAAATTCAAGCTAACTGAAGGGAAAAGAACTGAATGAGTGAAGATTCTGAGTTGCTTTATTAGCATGCTGACAGGGCCAAGGGCTGTCTCTTCTGAGAATCTCTGGAATGCTTTAACAAGCACTGTGCAGAAGGATCATTTACAACTAACACATCCCCTGTTTGTACGCAAACTCAGGGGAAGGAGGTTGTGAACGCAGTGCTGCCCCCTGTGAGGAGCAGGGAGAGAAGGGAGGTGCCAGATTCTTGAGCTTTTCCAAGGAAGGTCGGAGCGAGAAGGTGGGGCCAAGATCTGAAGACTAGTTTCTATGACAGACACACTTCTAGGCAAATACATCACATGCTACCACAAGAACAACAGCTAGGTACAAATCTCTGTCCAGAAACAAAATTAAGTCCCGCCACTGACTACCGCCTAAGAAATCTGCCCCCAAAGCTGACATGAAGTGTCAATGCATGTGGCCAAAAACCAGCAAAAGAGGAACACGAACAGATTTGTTTTCTGAGCAGAAACAGGGCAGCTGAAGCCACAAGGCCATCTTGGGAGAGGACAATGACTCTGAAACACAAGTGCATACACACGGAAGGGAAGAGCTGAGCTATCTTGCATGGGAAGGCATCCTTAAGGACAAGGATGTCTCATGGGGGAGGCGCAGAGGTTTAAAAAGGGCATCCACAATAATTCAACTCTGAGCAGTAAACAAACAAAGCCTTCTGCTCCGGAGGGTCAGGAAAGTCATTCACTGTGGAACTTTCCAGCCAATGGAAGCCCATTCCACCTCCACCTCCCCTTCAAATCCCATTTACACAAACTGCCCAATCTAATCAGATACTTCACACAGAGAAAAGCCTTTTCTTCCCAACAGTCTATAAATCACAGTAAATAGCAATTACTTTTGTTGCTCTTCTAAAAATGAAAATCCCAAAGGGCGCACCCGCCCCCCCCCAGGTCTCCGAGCCTGGGCGCGTCCTTGTTCTTAGTTTATCCATGGCATCCAGCAATCAAAGACGAAGCGCAGAGGAGGTCTAATTCCCAGACTGGGATGGGGGCAGCTTTTTGCATTGTATCAAGCTAAATGAAGTGGCTAACGTGATTCCACAGGATGCTCTCGGTTCATATCAATTGCTGATGAGCACATTCAGAAGGATAAAAGCCGGGCCACTGTGGGGCCAGCGAGCCCGTCTGGTCTTCCTCCCGGCCTCCGTGCATTATGGCCCCCGACAGAAAGGCAGGGGAGCTGCATGCTCAGTGGGAACTGGGACCAGGGCTCATCATCTGGCTGTCATTCATCAAGGTTGGCAGGGCTCCCACAGTCTCAGGGACAACCCAAGCGCCAGGCCTGCATATCCTGACCCAGATGCTCTGTGGGACAGAGCCCACCGCAGCCTGAGGCCGTCCCCCACTCATCATGGCAGACGGGACTGCTGGGGGCTACACTAAGTGCACTTGGCCCGGCATTCACTTACAGAATGCTCATAGCCCGGCTGTGAAGAAAGCGCTGTGATCATCCCCATTTTACAGACAGGGAACCCCAGGCACACACAGGTGAATCCCTCACACGGGGTCACAGAGCTGACACCTGAACCTGAGCAGTCTGGCCTGAGACCACAGCCCCCAGGGAAGAGTTCCTGTGCTGACAGCACCCTGTGGCCTCTGGAATCCGAGCACAGGCCCCAAGGAGCATGGCTGTATCTACCAGGCCCAGTGGCCATGGCTCACCCTCCCAGCAAGTGTATCTCATCTCTCCCAGACAACTGAAACCCCTCAGCACCCCTAGGAAGCAACCTGCACAAAACACCAAGCCACGTGTCAGTTGTCCACCCCAATAAAAGGACCCCTGCAACCTCCTCCCTGTCCTCCCCACAGAGCGAAAGGGAGTAAACACACCTGACCTTGGAACTCTTCCCCACAACAGTTTCAAGGAAGGAGTAAGGAGTATAACTCCAAGAATTTGGAGACAAACTCAACTGTGACCGAACCATAACCCACTTCTGTAATTCCTATTCCAAAACAAACTGCTCACAATACTATCTGGGGGCGCCTGGGTGGCTCAGTTGGTTAAGCGACTGCCTTCGGCTCAGGTCATGATCCCGGAGTCCCGGGATCGAGTCCCGCATCTGGCTCCCTGCTCGGCAGGGAGTCTGCTTCTCCCTCTGACCTTACCCCGTCTTGGGCTCTCTCTCACTGTCTCTCTCTCTCAAATAAATAAATAAAATCTTAAAAAAAAAAAAAAACAACCAATACTATTTGGTACTTAAGGTGTGTGATGCACCAGCTTATAAATGTCAGAAAAGCAGAGGAAGATGCTATTAGCAATAAGGACAAAGAAAAGGTTCTACAAGGGAAATATATATATACGTGTGTGTGTTTACATGCGCACCTACACGCATATGCATGTACACACACACACACGTGCACGCGGTAATTTCCATTTCATCAGGGAGCTGGGCTTGACCTGATGCTTCAAAGGCACAGCAGAGAGAAAGAGTACTCCAGGGGCTCTCTCCATTCCACCACTAAGTCGCTGTGTGGTCTTGAGGGATTCACTCTGGGGCCTCAGGTGCCCATCTACAAACGGTGATTTTTAAACAAAACCTCCCACACCTCTAAGATGCTACGGCCCCCAGTGAAAGGATCCACAGAATTGACTACCCACTGGGACTTCCTGTGGGTTCTGCCCAGAACCAGCGATCGGCGCGTGGCTAGCTTACCTATTTGGAATCTTGGAAATGTCTATCTTCTCTTTAGAGGCAATGTAAGGAATCAGCACCACCTTTTTCAAGTCTGGAAGTCCTGAAGGGAGGGGAGGAGCACAGGTTTATAGGCCAAGACATTTAGTGGTTGTATTTCTTACAAACTGTAATGCAACCAAGGGATGGGCGACACGGGGCCCTGGTGACCCCGGGGGCCCCCGCGCACTGCACCCCGCCATGCCAGCTCTGGTGACCCCAGGGGCCCCCGCGCGCCGCGCCCCGCCATGCCAGCTCAGGCCCGGGAGAGCCGCACACCTTTCACCACCTGCTGCAGCTTGTCCATGTGGCTATACTCTTTGCCATTGTACAGGACAGCCTCCACGGAGAAGATGAGCTTTGGCTGGATTTGAGAAAAGCGGTCCAGAACACCCTGCAAGTGGAAGGAAAGGGCGCTTGCCATCAGTCACACAAAAGGCAAACACCGTCAGCAACCAACGGGACCACACTGAGGGAGAGAAGCAGCTCGAACTGGCGCTCTAGCCTCATTCCTGTGCCCCCGTCAGCCGTGGCCAACAAGGAAAGCCCAGCAAACCACAACCTGCGCCTGAGACATGAACGTCACTTCAAGGAAAGCCTCGACATAAAAAAATACCAAAAGGATACATGCACATACACTGAAATAGCAAAACACAAGTTTATAAGACGGGGAAATTGTGGGGCGAGTAGTGGCACTTCCAGAAAGATCCCCCACTTTGCAGAAAGAGCCTCGAACACGGCTTCGCTAGCGTACAGGACTCGCCTTCCAAAAAGGCAACTCATACTGCAAAGCACTTCCACATTCTGGTTCTCTTCTAATCCTCGATTAAAGAGGTACATGAGTCCTCCAAATGGTACTTTTTGCCAATGAAATGCACAACCCTATAAACATGTATACTAATAAATAAGCTCCATTTAAAAGGCAAACTCCGGGTGCCCGAGTGGCTCAGGTGCTTGAGCATCCAACTCGTGATTTCGGCTCAGGTCATGATCTTACGGGCCATGGGATCGATCAACCCCCGTGTCAGGCTCCACGCTCAGCCGGGAGTCTGCTTGGGATTCTCTCTCTCTCTCTGCACCTCCTCCTGCTCACACCCACACACACTTTCTCTCTCTCTAAAATAAATAAATCGGGAGCAAGA